TTTCATTAATTTACTCTATTCTTTTTCCATTCTCCATTTTATTTTTATCCACTCTAATCCGTATTGTTTCCTTCATTCACTGTGCTTGGGTTTCGTTTGTTCTTCTTTCATATTCTGAAGTATGACAGAGTTTGCTTCATATCATTCTTTTAAAGGTTTCATGCAGTCAATGAAACAAGATGCCACACACAGGCGAACCAATGTCCGTTGCTATATTACTACCATCGTCATTAGCCTTGAGGTCAAATAGTCCCAGAATCAAATCTCAGATCCACCTATTACTAGCCATATGACGCCAGGAAAAGCTTCTACACTACTCTAAGCTTCAGTCTTTTCAATGGCAAAATGGAAATAATATCTACCTGACAGGCTTACTGTGTGAATTAAATGACGTACAGGTAAACTATTTAGCACAGGGCCTGGCACATAGGACGTGCCCCTCAAGAGTACCTGTTTCCATATATATATAGAAAAAGAGGTAACACATAAAACTCTAGGACATGGTGACAGATTACATGTGGGAGAGAAAGGAAAAAAGCTAAGTGCAAAGAACCAAGCCTGGCATGTTAGTTTTTACCAACTGAGATATATCCAGGATGGGATTAGACATATAAGATAATTTATCAGGGAAGATACCTCTGAGGGAATGTAGGGCAGGCATGAAGGTAGTATGGGAGAACCCACAGACCACTATGCAAAGCTGACTCCTGTGAAAAAGAAAGAGAATGAAGTTTTAGGTATCAATACAGTTCTAAGAGAGTTTTTGCAAGGCTGATGGGTAGTCCTCCTACCAGTTTCCCATTAAAGTTAAACAGAGCCTCAGAGAACTACACTTGCTTTCATGCCCTTGCTGGGAGCCAGCGGGAAGGAAGCTTTCTGTGTGAAGGACGTGGTGAATTTGAAATGCACTGACCTGGGCCTTCTGTCAATTCTGTCCCTGCCATGAAGACCTGACAGGGTCTCATTCATGGTTGCCACCACAGAGACACTGAGAAAAAGATGCAACCATGAAAAGGTGGAAAAGTGCAAATTCTAATGACATAGAAAATAGCAATCAGCCTTTCTCGCAGCTGAAAGCTTTCTGAAATATCTGAGTGCAGTTGAGAATTGACAGAGGACTGATCACCAACTTAGAAACACGGTGAGAGGGGAAAAAAACCTCCAAGAATATAACCATCTCCCATTAAATTTCCTACAGAAATAATGCATTCCTTGAAGAAACAATTATAGAGTACCTCATGTTACATGCCTGTTCCTGAGGCTTCCCCCAGTAAAATAACATCACCACCATTCCTTCTTTTATTTCTTTCCATGACAGCTCCTTTAAGAAGAGCACAGCTATCCTGGAATATTCCGATATAGCAACCGTGATGTCATTTCTGTATTTCAGGAAGACTGGCAGGTATGATGGCCTTTTCTCTTGTTCTGTTTTCTGCTGGGCTGACTGCCATGCTTGTGAGAGGGAAAAGACTTATTTCCCTGTATCTAGGACTGGATCGCCTCCTTCCTCCACCAAACTCCTGCTTCTCAGCACTAATTCCTGCAGTTCCCTTTCTCCCTGGCCTTTATGCTCCCTCTACCCCAATGTCTTTTAGACATAATTATCACCAGTCTCTGCTCATTTGTTTCTCAGATTCACATGAGAAACACAATTCCACATTATGAAACCCTCTTCATTATTTTTCACATCTCTCAATAGTGTAATTCTCTCCATTCCCATAAAGCTCAACCATTTCTCAAAGTGTTGCTTGACTTCTTGTCTCCAGACTTTGAAACCTTCCTTGCATATGACTGCCTCGTTACTTTTCTAAAATCTAGTTAATTCACTTAATCAAGAATCCCCAAGGGTCTACTCTAGCCTATTTGGTAAGTTCACATTTCTTCTATTTACTAATCCTTCTCACTTCCTTTACCTCTACTTCCTAGTATAATTCCTCCATCCTAATTACAACGGTCTTCCTACACATCCCTGCTCCTTCACCCATATAGACAAAAAATTCTTAGCTCCAATGCTATGCCTAAAAACAGGGTGAACTCCCCTCCACCACCTGCACTACAGACTTAACCACACTCTTCATCACAAGCAATCTCCGACCTCATGGAGAACAAAGACTTTAGGATTAGCCTGTGTACCTGAGACTCAGAACAAAACCTATGTGTGGTTGAGACTTTTTCCTGATGA